CGAAAATGTCTAATTTACGAGTAATTTTGGAAAAGTTGATGGTCTTATCAGTTGAAATGATGTGATAAATTGATAATTAAGAAACTTGATATTGCGCTTTCCATTTGTCAAGAAGTATTTAAGTCTAAAGCACACTTAATAAAGCAAAAAAAATATTGAGAAATCATAGAAAAATCTTGAATGATTACTTTATTAATGACTCAATTCAGACTAGTATTTTAATTTGCTTTTCCAAAATTATATTTATTTTAATTAATGATATCTAAATAAGGCTAAAACTCTTATTTAATTGACAGAAGTTTCCCTAATATACCTTGCATAAATGCTTAGGAATCTTGCAATACTAAAATGGAAAGGACAATATATTTTTGACAAATCGATGCAAAGTTAGAGGGAGGAAATTGAAATATCTGTTACGTATTATAATTAAGATAAATTCGGATTCCATGTGTCAGACACTGCTTTCGTGTGGTGTTTGAAATATAATGGTAATGCAGTTGAATGATTATTAAAATATAAAAAAGACATTAAAATATATTATAATTATGACTTAAGAAAGGAATTTTCACAAAGTAAACATACTTTTATTTCCGAGTTGGTCACTTTCGGGTATTCCATCTTTTTTTAATTTTATTATCACTATTTTTATACGTACCAAATATCCTATGCCCCTCCGCAAATAGAATGGTCAAAATTACAATGTTTTGTAGAATAAAAGTATGTCATTAGTTCTTTTTCATTCATACTACACGTAAACTAAGTTTTTGTTAATATGAAATAATTTTTGTCAGGGGAGAATGTAATGGTTATGAAATATCGTAATAAGCCTATCCTATCATAACATAAAAGATCTACAATTCATGATAATAAAGTATAAAACTATTCAATTATACACGTATATTATCCATACATTTCATGATAATACAATAGTTAAATTTTACAGTTCGTTTTTGAACATTATATTAACTATACAGTTCATGATTATACAGAATATTAGATATAAAATTAGTGGTTGTAAAGTTAATTAATTATACAGTTCATGATCATACCAGTAGATTAACAAATACAGGTTAAGATTATTACAGTATTTTGAATATACATTCAATGATTATACAATCAATATAAAAATTGTACAGTTCTTCTGTATATCAAATATACTATTAAGTTCATGAATATACAGTATATATATTATACATTTCATAATAATTATACAGAATATTAACTATACAATTAATTATTATACAGTATATTAACTATTTGTTTCATTAGTTTAAATGATCGATACATTGTTATTAACCTAATCGGATTGTATCTTTTTCGATATTAGTCTTAAGCCAAATGCAATTCTTTACCAGTTTCAAATCTTAAACATATATTTCATATATTTTGTATCAGACTTAGATTAGATGAACTAAATCATGTCTTTATTACATACTATAATAGACTTATACGTGAGAAACTTGTAATTCCTGCAGACAATGCATGTCATTAGAGAATAAAAAGAAGAAATATATTTCATTTCCAAGCATTTATGTTTTCTATATTACCTTCCTAATAACCCTGTCTGAATGCATGATTTATTTATATTTACCGTGTTTACAAATATAAGTTAATGGGAATAGCTTTTAGGCATTACGCTCATTTAGTGATAAAACAATAAATACCTCGCAATACGCGTGTGACTACAACTTTCATCACACTATTTGTATGCGGTACTTCATGAAAGATATAATCATTTAACATGCACTTAATAAGTGAATTGGTCTATAGTGGAAGTTGCGTTACTTAGTATCACATAATACACCAAACCACGACAAAATTATGGATGTTGTTTGCAAATGTGAGACGCCTTAAATGTTTCTATCTATCTATATATCTATACAGTATAGGAGATATTTAATAATTCTAGAATAAAATATTATTATTCATTTCTAAATTACATTAAAAATTATCTAAAATTTTCAAGGATAACATTTCGTGAGAATATCAAAATCATGATGAATTTCTATTGTTTTGATAAATATTTGAAATACGTATTTTAAAAAGTGTCCAACGTAGACCAATTCACTTTTAAGACAGATAACAAATGTTGTAAACACATTTAGAACCCTTTTGTCAACGAAAAATCGCTGCAATATGTTTCAACAAATAAAGTTTATAAAATCAATAATACATTATTTTTTTAAAACAAAATAAACTTTCACCTAAATTCTTACTCGATTTGCCTCCCGGAGGAGGAAAGATGAAAAGTTAAGAGAAATTTAATTGATTAAATGCAAAAACTTCAACTCGAATACCTATTGATTATTTCTGAAGATTATTAAAGAAACAATATTGTAACTTCAGCAATCGTAGACAAATTTGGCATCCAATCAGAAAATGACCAAATATGCAAGATCACCATTCAGTGAAAGTAATTACAGATTTTGAAAGAAGTTATTGTCACCAGAAAATTGAAATTCATCTAAGAAATAGGACTTATAATTAAGCCCTTTGTGTTTAAACTGAATCCATACATTTAATCTTTCGGACGTGATGTTTCATTTCTGACTTTTTCATAAAGTTTCTTTTGTATGCCGAAACATTATTGAAAGAGATAAAGGAAAATCTGAACCAGAGAGTCCACAAGGGATTGCCAACCTGTCATTAACATCTAACGACCATACCGTGCCATTTTTCTTCTCAACATATTACTTTATCGTATTTTTCTGTTAAATAATGTTTAAAATGTTCGAAGGTCTGAAGGGAAAAACAAACAAACTAAGTTTATCATATTCAATAATCATATGATAAAACTTGAAAAATCATATTTGTTACTTCTTTATATGGATTGGTATTGATCCTTATGTTCAGTGATAAAGGCGTCGGCCAAGAAGTCTAAACACTGCTGGCTGCGCGGGATCGAGCGCCGCAAAGGGGCAAGCTTTTGTTTCGTTGCGTAAATAACATAGTACTGGTTAGTTCCAGGAACGGGTTCGAACGTGTGTTTATAAGCTAATAACTAAGTCTTGTTACACAATCGAACTGAAATAAGCCATACCTTAACATTTCTTTTACAAAGGAATTCTCAATGCAAATCTAAGTCAATAATTTTCCTAAAACGCCCATAAAGTTGCAAATAATGCCCTTTCTTATATTTAATAAATATTTTGTGTGGCCTGTTATAGTTTCAAAAAGTTTCTCATTGGTCATTTACCTGAAACATCTTTTGTCTTTGTTGCTTTATTGCAATAAGTACAGTTACAGTTCTTTAATATTTTCTATGAACTTTGTTAACATTTTACTACTAGTTTTATTACCGATAATTTTATATACTTCGATTCTTTCGACATATAATAAGTATTAAGCATTAACAACATTTCTAATATATTATAAAATACATGTTAATTCTTTCCAAAGAAGAAAATGATATTGTTTCTGATGCATATTGTGCCTTTAATTAATATTTCCTTCAATGCAGGAAAACCAAAACCATCCTCGATTTATGAAAGACCAAGGCTGACTGCATATGGTTTCAAATTATCTTTTATTAATTGTTGAGAATCATATACTTCCATGAAACATCGGTTGAAAACCATACAGACAAAGATAAAGTTACATAATATTTAAAGAGATACTTAAGCGAAAAAAATATGCTGAGATAAGGAGTGTTTCCGGTAACTTTGTTATTCTTATTTCAAATCAGAATTGTTGAAATGTAGCAGTTTGTTTAAGCAAGTACATATATAGAGGATATTGAATGAGTATAGTTAAATACTAAATTTATTGAACAAGTTAAATAAAATAATATCGTTTTATTAAACGAGTTCAATAAATTTAGTATTGAATTTACACGAATATACATGTAATATTCTATTTATCACATAATCATATAAAATAAGAACAGTATGCTGTTAAAATGAGTAGTTTTTCAATGAGCGCCTATAGTGTAACGCTAACATTAGCGCGCTTTAACAAAGAACAAATGACGTCACGTCAAAGTGTTATTACACTAGTGTAATATTGTTTTATATTAAATGGCTTTATAAGACTCCTTCGCCGCGGATTATGTGATAAATGTTCATCTTGATGCTTTTAAGCTGAAAAACAGGATTTTTTTTTCAAAAAAAGAAAGGTGTATACAAAATTTACATTTAGGTTCGTTTCATATTAACCAGATTCTTTGTTGTTGTTGTTTTATTTTAATTTTTTCATCTATTTTCATATCATATGGATGTCTTTATTTAAAGATTAAGTACAGATGTGAAATCTAAAATATGTCACACTAGTATTGAACACATAAAACAACTGACACTTAAAAGAAATGTATGATGGTCATATTAGCGGCAACCCTGTAATATAATTTGGTACTCAAATGTATTTTGTTAATCAACAATAAGTTATGTTTGTGTTTGATATATTGTATTAACTCAGTACTACATCATAAGATTCTAATTTCGAAATTTTTGACATAGTTCTTACCATACTTTGTAATTAATGTTTTAAATGAGATTAGTTTTATTTGATAAAGCAATACTTTTCCTCATATTTTTACGGAATAAAAGCTGATTTAAAATTGACTTTATGTAGATTTGTATTGTAGTAGCAATAGCTTCTTGTTTATAGTTCGTGGTAAAGTCAACATAGCCTCATTTTATAGTTTATATTTAAGTTGAATTATAGTACATTATAACCAACATGTCATTTTTACAGTTCTTGTTTACTTTAAATAATATTGTATGCCATAGCGTCGATTTTTTTTTAGCTCGTGTTCACTTTAAATCTCATTGCGTCATTTTTATAATTCATATTTTATTTGAATACTACTGTATAACCAACATGTCATTTTTACAGGTCGTGGTTTCTTTCAATAGTATTGTATAGTCATAGCGTCATTTTCATGGTTCGTGTTTAAGAAAAATAGTATTGTATAGCCATAGCGTCATTTTTTATAGTTTGTGGATTTAAAAAGTATACATAAAATATTTTATTAGAATATGAATATAAGATGTGTCACTTACATTGTATTCCAGTTGTAAAACTCGTAAATCCAGTACCTATTCGTATATATAGATATATCACTTTTGAAAAAACAAAAACTATTAACAAATTTTAAAAAAAAATGTAAACAAAAATTTAGGATCTTATACAACTAGTTGTTGATGTCAATATCATGTTCATTCCGTTGCAATTATGTTATTATACAACCCTTAGTAAGATCATTTCAGAATTCATGTACATCAATCAAACGCAACCATGTCTTGTTTGTCTGTGTAAATGATGATATTAATTTCCTGATGAAAATGTATTCGTTTTTAAAGCATACCTGCGGCACTAGTAAACCAAGTAAACCATTCACTTGAGATTTGAGATCAATTTATCATTTCAAAGGTTTCTAATGATACTGCAGATTTCAGATTGTGCAGTGTATTAGACAATTTTATGAACAATAATAGGTAGTTTATTTGGTATTAAAATACAAGTACAAATTTTAAAAGATAATAATTGTTACACTCGATAGATTTCGACATCAAAGCATGGATTCTTTTCACCACTAATTGCGTTTTAATGAACAAGCTCTTGGTAGACTTTATCACTTAACATAGACACAATGCAGACTAAACATTTTCCATAAATCGCCGTTTGATTTAAGATCTTATGCAAATTCAACGTCTTATAAAGGTGTATTTTGAATAAAAAAAAGGGCTGCTTCAAAAGAAAAATTATTTATTTATCAGAAATATAGGAATTTTCAAAAGTCTTTGCTTTGAACATATAACAATAATATTCGCTTTGGTCAAATTAGAAATATTTGTTTACAAACTTAATTGACTAAGCTATGAGAGAGATATATCTTCAGATCAACTTCAATTAAAATTACTTGAAAATGATTTGACATAGATTATTGTAATTATAAAAGTACGTTTCCAATTTGAAAGATATATCAAAACTTCCTTATACACACATTTTAAAGCAGTTTAAAACGACATTACTGTACATATATGAATCATTTTATAAAGTATGTTTTATAAACGTTCATCACTGACCAGATATCTTTATAGAGGCTTCCGAAACTGTTGAGTTATGTTTGATTTTCTTTTTTTTTTCTGATCTTATAATGGTACGAAAATGTACATATATACAAGAAAATATCGTACAGGCAAACGATAAAACACATATATTGGTAATATTTGTATCAATGAAGAAATTTTATGCTCAGAGTTTTCCAAAATCTTTGTCAGAAAACGATTCATGCTTTATCGTTGTCTTACGAAAAGTTATGGCATTGCTTTGTTTTGGCATTAAAAGGAAACAAAACGGTAGAACATAAAACTAGACGACAGCGGTTATTCGCTCTTCTTTGAGACAGATATACGATGATAAGTTAGGCAAAAAAGATGAAATCAAAAGAAGTACGTGTTGTCCACTAATTGAAAAGACTCTTTCATCAACCTCAGCAATAATTGCATCAATAACGATAAGACATTAATGTTGCCGATTATTTGTCCATTCGTATTCATCTCACGAACAAATGTCATCAAAGGAGTATCCGTTAAGCACCACTACGAAATCAATTACTTTCATGAACAAGTGTTGTTTAACATGCTCAAACCAATCAATTTCATGTTTTTTTTCTTAAGTGACTCAATGTTAACAATATTTGATCAGCCAAACGCAGCATGTAGTAGTGTGATTGGGTTTTCTTATTTGTAAAAATAAAGAAAATGTATTTGCAAAATGCAAATTGAGACAAGATGTCTTGGCAATCGATGATTAAATGGTTTGTTTATATATGTTTTATTTATGTTTGTGTGTAAATAAAATACGGCATATTTGCAATACAGTGAAATATCATTTTCCCAAAGTAACATTCAAAACAACATTAATAAACTAACGATTTTTGTCAAACTCGAAATCTGCAGCGTTTTATCATTTTATATTGGAAATTTTTTATTTAAATGAATAAAAAGATACGGAATGCACATGCAATACAATTGTGAAATGATCTACATAAACATGTATAATATATAAGTATTAGTTATATACTTGCAAGTTGCCCCTTGGCAAATATGCGACTAATAAAATCTTAACACTATCATCTTTAATTTGTATAAACGGAATAAATGTAAACAAATACTGTCTTGATTTTTATTTTGCTTATTCTTCAAGTAGTTTAAATAAAATAAACTTATGTAAGCATGAAATTATCACCTGTTTTTAATGTCATTTACTCATAACTCCCTTTGTCAGTACATGTAACAAATTTTATTATTTATTATTCAGTTCGCTTTTGTTCAGGATTTAATTTAAATCGTTTTGTATAAGTGACACAAAAAATGGATACATTCATCAGAAGTGTCACCATTTTGGTTTAATCAGATACAAGCAACGCATTTGAACGATTTTAAAAAGGAATTTATTAATTTATATTTATTTGTCATCTGTTTGAATGAAATATTTCTTTTCGAACTCATATAAACATTTTATATGCAGCAGAACAAACAACAAGTAAATGTGAAAGTAAATGTCATTGTTAAATTGAACTTTCGAGATATTCGTCTATAATTGCATATACGTAGCGTAGAAAATGACCTTTATTCTTGAAGATTATTCTTATACTGTTCCATATCTTTGAAGTTTTAATTCGCAGTCAGTTTATCTTTAACTTTGAAAGTAAAACTATGAATCGAACGAAACGATTCAGTCTGAATAACACATTCTTTGATTGTTGTAGGTCAGTTAGCAGTTGTTAACAGTGAAATTTAATCGCAACATTTTAACGGTATTTAGCATACTACAATCAGCATGTTCTGATGGCAATCAGGACGTTTTAAAAAAATTTACGTCTTATCTGTGATATGCAGGCTTCATAACCTCAGATCTCCTTTCAAAATTCCATCTTATTTAGTTTCGCCCATTGTTTTCACGTTTAGGGCACAAGCATTATTTTACTTGGGGTCCATACGCCACTTTTCATGGAATGACACTTATATGTCACATTGAAGGTTCCATGATAACCGCCGTATGAGCACATCTGCGGATGTTTCTAAATACAAGATTTCACCATTTCGTGTTTCAAGGTTGAATTGTGCTTAAGCCGGTGCTAGGGGTGTGGACAGTACCGTCCATGAACAGGCTGACTCAAACCAAGCCTGCAACATTTTCAATTTTGCCTTGTCTCTATTTTTTAATGATACCATTCAACATATTTGCAAGTTGAAACTATTGTTTACTAACTATTTTCTATTTTAAAAATTGCAACACATGCGGCTACATAAATCACTTTACATTTTAATGCCAAAGGATATTTTGAATATTCACTGGTTCAAATGTTACTGAAGTCAGCTGACTCGCCTTAAATAGAATAGTTTTAAAACAAAAAATTTGTTTGTTAGGTCATGCCTAAACAGATTTCAGTTCTTGAATATATTTCATCTAGTTCTAAATAACAGTATAACTTTGGCAAACTCCAGCTGAAACCCGCCAGGTTAAATGATAATGAATCTTTACTACAACATTTAACAGAGTGTTGCATATGTTTTCCTTACTAACATTTATACTTTATTTTTTCTTTGATATTTTGTTATAAAATCTTTAATTGTATTTAATTGTCATAAAAGGGAATGACTGTTAAATATAAATCATACGATGTATCAAACGGTATACTTTTGTTAGTGTTAAACCTTGTCCTCCGAAAACATTTATTTAATTGCTTTCAAATAGTAAATATTAACGTCCAATTAAAACATTTTTGCATACTAACCAATATCATTTTATTCATAGGCATTCAAATCTTTCAAATGGTTGAACGTATCATAAACCATCAAATCTCTTTGTTGCAGTTTCTTTCATAGTTTCTGCTTTTTGTCCGTGTTAACCTCAATTTACTATATGACCTATCTTTCCCAACACATTGTGCTTTTGCGCATGTTTATAAGAGGGCTTATTTAACTTGGCTGTCAAAAGTAACAAGTTCAATATACTCATAAAATGAACCGCTGTAAAAAATTCTCAGGTTTCTAATATTAAGAAATGTTGGGCAATACTCCATTTTCCATAGTTGTTGGCAACTCCATCAATGAACTGCGAATTTTGTAAATGAATGTGATAAATAAGGTAATTATTCTTTGACACATTTCTCTTTCAAATATTTTTCACTGGCAGTAACAGAAGATGCGAGTTTGATTTCTTTATCTAGTCTGATGATTTATTATCACTTGAAATGTTTTAATTATATAAGGTAGAAAGGGTAAACACGTCTGATTGACAGAAGGATTTCACCTTTGAATGAGAATTATATATGCCAATCATAAGAACTAAGCATTAGGGTATATGCAAATGTCGGTATACATGTACTTGACAACAATAAATTTACTCATAAGTATTTAGCAATTTTAATTGAATCATGCTTAGATTTTGTGATGACTTTAAATTATTTGGGGCTTTTTTGCATTTTTTAAAAGAAATGTGTGTTTTCTGTACAAGATTATATGCTGGTTTGGAACACAAAGTGAATAAGATATCAGCCAAAGAATGTCTATGATTGTAAGTCAAATGTCAACAATTTGAAAGGTTTAATGCAGCCCCTAAGGTCAAATGCCTAAAACATAAATATATAACAGAGACCAGCTACATGTAATGTATTTGAAAGAAGATGATGATTAAGACAAAAACAAGAGAAATTAAATATAAAAAACGGATTGAGCGAGACATAAAAATATATTCTGTCTCTTTATGTCCAGAAAAGAAAATAGTAATAATAATAATTAAGCATTGAAAGAGTCTTGCGCAGTCTGGCAAACTTTATGTTTTTTGCCATCATTGACTGTTTAATTCAGCACAATTTTAAGTTCCATTATAGCACTGCTACATTATATTAACATCAGACAATTTTACTCCTTAAGACAATTCCATAAAAGGTTTGCAATTCAATTAAAATATCAAACCTCCATTTATCACTTACTTTCAATGCATTTTCTCTTCAAGCTTAATGAAAGTACTACACTTACTTAATTGATTTTAATGTGTTTTCGCCATAATAATTTACTTTTTAC